ACGCCTGTCACTCCACAGTCTGAAAATACACATCATGGCATCTTAAACTATTCTCAGGAGTTTCCTTTTTAAATAGCAAAAGAGCCTTATGTTTCTCTCTTCAGTTTGTCACATTCTCATCAGTGACACTTTCTTGCTGGTCCCTCTTAGGACTAACTTCAAGTACTACCTTCAGTGGTGGAAGGAGACCACAGGACATTAAGATTACTGGTAACTGTGCTAATGCCACCAAGCAACAAAAGATTGCTGAGTGTTGTGATGGCCTAATGAAAGGCAAGGGGAAAGAGAGAAAGGCTGTGCTTAGAAAACATGTATGGAAAAATGTAAGATGTGTCATGTGTCAACATTTTTGCGTGTGTAATGACTTCTTAAAGACATTGAGGTCTAATGGGAATATTGCAGAATGGAAAGAGTAACTCGAAATATCAGACTATAGGAGTGCATGTCCCAGATTCTGTGCTTTCTGCATTCTGGGTGCCAAGCAAAACAGAGGTAGGCAATTCTGTAGCATGTACCCTGTTGAGATACAAACCATGCCAGAAAAAAAGCAGAAAACACTTCTGAGCATTACAGGTGATATGGGAAATGACTTGAAGGCAAAAAAAAGAGTAAAGATATTCCCCCAGAAACCTTGTTACTGGTGCTATTTACAGTGTGGAACAACATGTCCATCCCCCCATGTCCCTGCTGCTCTCTCAGTGCTCAGCATGACTCACATGGTCTCTTCAACATTGGCCCCATGCAATGGCAGAACAAGGCTGGGATCCCTCTCACCTCCCTTCAGCTGCTTACAAGTTACGTTACCTGCGATACCTCAGTGATGGGACACCATAGCTGGACTATGAGGGACACGCACACATGCTGGCCAACCATCAAGAGAAGCGTGGCCAACAGGTTGAGGGAGGTGAGTCTCTCCCTCTGCTCTGCTCTTGTGAGAACCCACCTGGAGTACTGTGTCTAGTTCTGGAGCCCCCAACATAAGGACATGGACCTACTGGAGTGAGTCCAGAGGAGGGGGCCACGAGGATGATCTGAGGGCTGGAGCACCTCTCCCATGAGGACAGGCTGAGAGATTTGGGGCTGTTCAGCCAGAGAAGAGAAGGCTCCAGGGAGACCTTATAGCAGCCTTCCAGTACCTGAAGGGGCTATAGGAAAGCTGGGGTATATCCCTGTCTGATATACTGTGCATTTGTAAGGCCTGTATCTCTCAGGAGTTCTTCCTTCCCTGTCTCCCACCACCTTCCCTGGGGCAAGCTGCTCTGAAGTCCTCCGGCTGAAACTTTC